TAAATAATAACTAAATGAGAGTTTGACAGAAACTCAGACCCATCTAGTGATGTATATAAAATAGTGTAATAAATAATAAATATAAAGATTAATCACACAGTCAGATAATGTTTACACATATGGTGGCTGTGTCCGAAAGTCAGTCACTTCTGGATGAGAAGTCTCACTCTTATTCATACTGTTATGGACATCAATGCACCTAACAATTCTGATGTTGGTTTGCCAAATAAGGCAATCCTGGGCATTCCAAAATCCTCTGAGACACGTTCATTTTAATCTTCTGGCAATCAAAATACCTTTTGCAAGATCATGGATGTCCTCAGTTACAACCCTAGATCTGGCCAAAAACACAATAATGTGGATAGTGTTGCATTAAAAAATTACTAGCATTGCTAATGACAAGGCAGAGGTCTTTGGGAGAACTCGGAACCCCCAAATCCGTTAACAACAAACATAACACAAGAAAGAGACACTCTTCCCTTAATGAGGCAAGGCTGTTACTTGGGAGGCAGAAGAAGACAGGAAACTTTACCCAGTGGTGTAGATGTAGTACTATGCTCTCCCCTCTTTATTTTTCTTGGTAATCATATATAATGTCATACAAATACAGTTACTACTATAACATATCTGCTACCTATTATTATTAATTTCTTTTCTTTTGAAAGACAGAAGGCAAGACTTTTGGACTCCACCCTGGGATGTCCAGGGGCCTTGCCAATTTACAATACAGGACACCAACAAGTAATACAGTTTCCAATATCCATCAATTAAATCTTTATTGATACATAAATAGAACAATAAATCTTTCACAATGTATATAACATGTACTGCCAATAAATAGTTGCATTTTCAATGTCTGAACAAAATGTTAACATGTTCACAAATGCGCTATAAAGTATCACAAATATGTCTAATTTGTTTCTTGTAAACAAAAATATATATATATATATTGAAAAATGCTTTGCAAATACCTGTTGTAAAGGTCTCTGAGACAGGAGAACTTGTCATTTCCCCACGTCGGGATATTAATATGACTTCATATTCAGTGTCAGGTCGTAGGTCATTCATGGCAAACTGGCTTTCATCTTCAGAAAGTTCAACGGTGGTTCTGGGCTCGTTTCCTGTTCCGTAGGTGAGAGAAACTCCATCGATTTGTGCCAGGGGTTTCATCCATGTTATGAGTGCGGAAGTGTCGGTGACATCTTTTACATCGACTTCACTGGGGGCATCCAGTCCTGAAACACAAATGGTACGTCTAAGTTGTAGATCATCCCATGGTAACATGGCAAACTGGCTTTCATCTTCAGAAAGTTCAACGGTGGTTCTGGGCTCGTTTCCTGTTCCGTAGGTGAGAGAAACTCCATCGATTTGTGCCAGGGGTTTCATCCATGTTATGAGTGCGGAAGTGTCGGTGACATCTTTTACATCGACTTCACTGGGGGCATCCAGTCCTGAAACACAAATGGTACGTCTAAGTTGTAGATCATCCCATGGTAATTAGGTCATTGAGGGCAAACAAACATAAGCAGTACCGTTGTATGTGTAACTGAGAAATGTGGTTGTTGCACTTAGTTTTCCTCTTGAGTTTTATATAAAAAGTGTGAAGTGCAGACCTTTGGAGGACCTCAAGGCCTCTAAATGAGAGATTCAATCTTCAGAAATAAAGGGCATCATACCAAAAGGCGAAAGGGTCCAAATGCGCCTTTATTTGTTCATAAAACAATCAGCAAAAAACAGAAAACATGTTTTGGGGACAACAACACTCCGGCCCTTCATCAGGGCTTAGTATGGGATAAGGTTTTGATTAGATTCGAGATACTATAACCTGAAGGAGATCCCTTTATCAAACCTTAAAGAGATCCATTTGGTTACAGTACCTTGAATCCAATGAAACCCGTATGCCATCCTAAGCCCTGATGACAGGGGAGTGTTGTTGCCCTGAAAATGTGTTTCCGGTTTTCAGCCTAATCGACAAGTAAAGACACATGTGGACTCTTTAACCTTTTGGTTTGTTGCCCTTTATTTTTGAACATTGAGTCACGTCTGGTTACCCTACAAGGGAGGCCTGTCTTGTTGGGGAGCTGCTTTGCCAATGCCAGCAAGCTTACTTGAAATCTTTCAAGTAATCCCAGAACCTCTTCAATTCCTTTGAAAGGGATCCTTTAGGGATGACATTTTAGCAAGAATTGGAAGAGCTCAGCAGAATTCCACCATTTTGGCAAAATGGTGGTGTGGTTAAGGTAGTTATTGGTGTTTTTTTAAAGAATGCAATAAGCTTACAATTGCTCCTCAGGGTTACATAAGCTCATTTAGCTATCGTTGGCCTGTTTTGGGGACAACATAAGGGGGCATTTTTTAATACATCAGGGAAGCTGCCATAAGATAGGCCACGCACATATGGCCGTCCCTACACTATTTGCTGCCTGAGGCAGGAAGGCTGTTGGGGGATGACATTGCTGTGAGTGTATGGTCGTTGGTGGAGAGGGTGGCGTTGTTTGAGCCGTGCTGTCCTCCGTCGCATCCAGCTCACTGTCGTCAGTGGTTGCCAGGGGCTTGGACGGATGGCAGCCAGAGTGTTCCACCTGGAACTGGATGCCAAGGTGGGAAGGCTGTTGGGGGATGACATTGCTGTGAGTGTGTGGTCGTTGGGGAAAGGGTGGCGTTCTTTGAGCCATGCTGTCCTCCGTCCCACCCAGCTCACTGGCGTCAGTGGTTTGCCAGGGGCTCGGACGGATGGCAGCCAGAGTGTTCCACCTGGAACTGGATGCCAAGAGCTGAGTGGGGCACTCTGGCTGGCATCCCGCCGAGCTTCTGGCATCCAGTGACATGAGCTGGGCGGGAAGCTGGACAGAACGTCACAGGTGGCTATAGAGCTATAAGCAACCTGGGACACTGTGGCCTTCCCACTGCCACCCCCAATGAGATGCTGCCTGAGGGAACCCCACGCAGACATTACTGGAGTGCTTGTAGACAGAAAGGAATATCTGTAGAAATCAACAACAATGGAATGGAACAAAGGATACAAAAGTGAAAACCGTATTTACCAGTATAAGTAAATGTCATTTCGGTGGGATTTATATCCATCTGCATTCCTGTAGCATGCCGTTCATATAAACAAATATGCACTGTAAGGTTTGAGAGGACTGCGGATGCTATTTATTGGCCTAGGACCCAAACTACAGATGACCTCATGCAGTCAAACAATGGCTGGTCGCAGAGCTGCTTGCTCTGCAGAATGGCTTGAACATTTGCATGTCTGGCACCCACATTCGCATATCACAAGATGCCTCTTTCAGGAGCCGGGTGGGAGGAAAGCCGCATATCTTTCCCATTGCCCCAGCTTGCACCTCGGTAAATGTCAAAAATGAAAGCAAAACCAGCCTTCGAACAAAAGGAGCCTCAGTGCACCATTCCAAGCCTTCGGTTTCCGAAGACGTAGGCAATCATCTAAAAATTGACGCTCGCAGAATTGGGATAATGACATAAATCTATCGCTGTTGTTGCAAATGGAGCAATTTGTTCGCCGGTGGCAATTTAATATCATTAGCAAATCAATACTACGCCGGTATATTTTTTTTAAAAGATGGATTTAGTGCCTTTCCGCCTGCGACAAGAAACATTTAATGTGAAACTTTTATAGCAAACTCCTGTTTTGGCAGATTTATGGATGAATCTTTTAGGAATGCCTTGAACTGGGTATTGGGAACCGAGGCAAAGCATTTCCAAACACAATGCCGTAAAAATGATGGATTTTCCAGGCACCATTTATGTGCCCCCCCCACCACCACCACCACCTCTGCTCTCACTAAGGGTCTAGCAGTTTTATTGATTTATAACCCTAATTTTCATTCACAAGCCTCTGTAACTATGGGGGAGCAGACATGTTCGTGTTTAGTCTGATTAAATGGAAGGAGCCTTAGCTGTGGAGAGAAATAGGTCATGACTGTTATTTTTACATTGTATGACGAAGCAGCTGGCTTGACTTAAATATTTGCCACACTTTCTATTGGCACTTATAGTCATGTGTTTTCATTTCCATCCAGGCCTGCGGGTCTAACACTGGGCTCTTTGTCACGAAGACCAGTGGTCAGACATAAAGTGGGAAGCAAGATTCCTTGAGTAATGTTCAAGCATTTTATAGTTCATTCTTCGCAGTTAATGACCGAAATCTGTTCCAGTGTGAAAAGGGAATCTGGTAGATCAGGGGTGTCCATATTTTTGTGTGCGTTAAGATCTGCTTTTCAAATGATGAGCTCAATGAGCTCTACCAACAAAAAAACCCTCCCTCGCTCTCTCTCCTGGCTGCCTCTCTTGTCTGTCTCTCCTTGCTCTTTCACCTGGCTGTCTCTCCTCACTCATCCTCCTGGCAATCTCTCCTTGCTCTTTCCCCTGGCTATCTCTCCTGGCTGTCTCTCCTCTCTCTCTCTCCTCTCTCTCTCTCCTCTCCCTCTTCTAGTTGTCTCACCTCGCTCTCTCTTCTGGCAGTCTCTGCTCGCTCTGTCTCCTGGATATCTCTCATTGCTCTCTCTCCTGGCTGTCCCACCTTGCACTCTATCCTGGCTTTCTCTCCTCGCTCATCCTCCTGGCTATCTCTCCTTCTCTTTCCCCTGACTGTCTCTTTGCTCTCTCTCCTGGCTAACTTCCCTGGCTCTCTCTCCTAGTTGTCTCTCCTCACTCTCTCTCCTGGCTGTTCCTCCTCGCTCTCTCTCCTGGCTGTCTCTATCCGCTCTCTCTCCCGTCTCTCCCTCCCCCCTGTTTCTCCTCACTCTCTCCCCTTGCTGTCTCTCCTTGCTTTCTATCCTGGCTGTCTTTCCTCTCTCTCTCCCCCTTTCTCTCTCCTGGCTGTATTTCCTCACTCTCTCTTCTGCCTGTCTCTCCTTGCTCTCTCCCCTGACTGTCTCTTCTCGTTCACTCTCCAGGCTGTCTCTCCTCACTCATCCTTCGGGCTGTCTCTCCTCGGTCTCTCCACTGGCTGCCTCTCCTTTCAGAGGCACCACAAATCTCCAACAGCTTTTTGCCTGCTTCCCGCCTCTTCAGGTATTAGCACCGCGGGAGGGAGTTTAGGACAGCGAGCCGCCTTGCGATCACAATCCACCAGCTTTAGCTTTGCGAACAACTGGTGGATCGCGATTGACCTAACAGGCACCCCGTTGTAGAACCTCATATTCATGTTCTGATAATTGGGCTGATTTACCAAAAGGAGTTGAGAATCTCCACACAATAAATAACCTCAATGCCAAATAAATGATACCAAATACAATTCGCACGGCATTCCCGCCACCAGAAGAAGCCGCGCAGCAAAGGAAATTCCTATGCTGCTCGGCTCCATCTAATGGCAGGAATGATGTGTGAACGGTATTGGCTGAGAAGAAGCTTTATAAATCATCTCTATAGCGTTCCTTAAATTAAAATAAATAAATAAATAAATAAATTTACTTGTTGTGGTGAGTTTGGTTAAAGGCGGTCCTTGCGTGTTGTTCTTCACTACATGGATTGAAACTTCATAGGTCTCTCCGGGGGCAAGTCCTTGTTGTGTATAGGAGGTGACCGATTTTTCCAGGCTTGTGCTTATCTCTCCATTTAGCTTTTTCTGGAGAAAAAAAATCGAATATTAAATAAATAAATAACTATTAAGAATAAATTATTAAATAAATGAGAATGAATTTAAATGAAAAACAAACTTTTTGAATATGAATGCAAAAAGTTCTTAATACTTATAAGAATTTAAAGTGTAACTCAAGGCACTCTCCACCCGGGAAGAAAACTCCTGTGTAAGCTCCAAGGTGACCAATCAGAAAGGCTCTTATTAGCACATGGAAACTACAACATAGCTGACTTGCTTATTGTGCTGCTTCTCCCACTCCCAGTATGAGTACAAGGTTCGAGAAGCATTGTGGTCTAAAATGTTTTTTTTATGTTGTAGCATTCGCAGTACACTTCACTGAAAACATCTGAACTCAATTATTTGGAGGTGTGCCCACATACGTTTGAACATATCACACACATACTAGCAGGGCCGGATTTACTCTCTCTGCTGCCCCAGGGCCAGGTTCCTAGATGCGCCCCCCTGTATGCAGGCTGCATAGAAGTGAACTCGGCGACATCACCGAGATCATGTGTACAAAACAAGCGGCGGCTTCCCCGCTGTACATTTAGTTCTGCTTCCCCAAAACAGGGCTAAATGTAGAGAACAACTACCCATCTGGCGCCCAAAACTGCATGTCCCAGGTGTTGGGAGATAGGAATTCCACACCCCTGCTGCCCCTCTACTCCCTGCTACCCCGAAGGCCGGGCCTCGGTTGGCTTTGTGGGAAATCTGGCCCTGCATACTCGTTCAAGTTAAATCTTACACCTGCTTTTTTTCATGGAAATTATCGTAGGACTTTATCTGTACTTACGGTGTTCTGGAATATCAGTTTCCATGCGTCAAATGGGATATCCAGCGGCTCCCATTCCACATCTACATAGGTCTCCCTTACGGTTTTAAACCTCAGATCATCTGTGGTGGGCAAGTCTGTAAAAAGAAATGTATCTTTGCTTAGTATTCGCAATTGTTCATTACTGGGTTGCATATATGTTTCAAACTTTGCAGAACTAATTGACTGAGCTGGATGACAAAGGTAATGGCCCGGAGCTTGTGCGCTACTGCATTCCCAATCTTTCGCATTATCGGGAAACGCAAACTAGTGGACAGGCACACGCAACACAGCGGATGCCAAAGACGCGCTAAAGTGACACACAGGAAGTGACTCGGCTGATTGATGGGTCTATTTAAACCAGCCTGTCCAGTTGGCCAGTGCTGAACGGTCTTTCAGCTTGTGCCCTTACTTTCTGTTTCTCTGTTCTTTGATCACCTGTTGTCTTGACCCGGATTGCCTTGACTACACATGATTGCTGCCTGCCCTTGACCCTTGTTTGTTTCCTGGATTCGCTTCTGCCTTCTCCCTTGGTAAAGTTCTGCCCAAATAGTTTGACCCCTGGCTTGCCTGACCTCGCTCCAGTTCCTGCTTCTGCCCACGCTGACCTCTCAGCTGGATTCCAGTCCTGCTTCATCATCTCTGAGAACCTGCTTTTGGACTGTGACCTGGCACGGTGTCTGAACACCTTGGCACCCGTGATACTCTTTGTCTACTCACTCCCTGTCTCCCTGTTGCTGGGGTGTGAGACAAGAGCCGCAAGGGATGCCTCCTCAGCTCATTCGGTCTTCTATCAGGTACGTGATACAAACCTATAGACTACATATTTCGATGACATAGACATATAACGTAGCCAACTAGAGTTGACTACCTATGTGTTCACACACCTTGCAGACTGCCCTGGGAGTCTTACAACTTTTAATAACACTGCTAGACCCTTAGTGAGAGCAGAGGTGATGGTAGTGTGTGTGGGGGTGGGGGGGACATAAACAGTGCCTGGAAAATCCATCATTTTAATGGCATTATGTTTCGTAATGCCTTGCCTAGGTTCCCAATACCCAGTTCAAGGCATTCCATAAAGGATTTATCCATGAATCTGTGAAAACCGGAGTTGACTATCAAAGTTTCACATGAAATGTTTCTTGTCGCAGGAGGAAAGGCGCTAAATCCATATCTTCACGGGAAGGTTTCTTCATCCTCCCTTGACACACTTCAGTTATAATCGGCTTCTACCTTATTCCTTGCTCTTTCCATTAACCAAGTCTTGCCTACATTCTACAGTTGGCCATGTGTATATTCACCTCTGTGGCAACTGATCTAGCACGGTTCCAGGTATACATAATGCAACAAATGCCAAGAAGCCAACACGTTAGTCTAAACAACTTTGGCTTTTAGGTTTTTACTGATGTGTGTTGAGGGAAGAAAAGTAGAAAGTTCGGGATGACCCAATGTCTTCTATATCCAATGGAACTTGAGTTTGATAAAACAAGAATAAAACGTCTTCCATATTAAGTTCCATTTGATGTAACAAACCTGAACTGCAAGAATTGGATTTCCGGCAAAGTTCAGCACCCTTACACCATGAGATAGATTCACCCAAAAAGTCTGCATGGAGACATATACTGTATATTATCAACATTATTAATAGTTGGAGCCAGCAATGGTTTCCAGCAACCCTACAGATGTACAGTAAGTAAGGCCCCATCACATTAAACTATCTGATGTAACCTCTTGACTACCAAATCCTACCCTATAGAGTGGTTTTGCCTAATTGTTTCCCACTCTGTCTCCCCATCTCTGTTTTTTTTTTTCTTGTGGTGACCCCCAAACAGGGTTTGGAGGCTGCCACACAGAAATAAATTAGTCTGAAGGGCCGAAGAGTTAATTGAGGTTTCCTGTAGTCAGAAGATGCCCTTTGATAATGAGAAGAGTATGGGGTTGGAAGCAATGTTTTATACATTCAACTCCAGTAATAATTCCATCCCCTGATATATGATTCTTCTTATCATGTTGGTCAAACTTTTTCTAGTGAGTGAGTTTATACAAAAAAACATCAAAAATTACTTACGTGTTGCAACCCTTGCACTGACAGGGATGCTCTTCTGGTTTTTCAGGATAGCATAGACACGGACAAAGTACTCCACACCCGGTTCAAGCTCCTTAATGGTGGCTGTGGTTTGCTCTCCAGGCACACTGAATTCGAGCTCTAGCCCTCCCACACTTGTGGGAGTGTATGAGATCAGATATCGGCTGACTTTGATTTTGTTGGCCCATTCGAGATTGACCGTTTGGGTGGTTACGTCTGTCACAACTAGGTCTTCTGGTGGTGATACTATTTGATGAAAGCAAAAAGGTAACATGGTAAGTCCCGGGAAGGGGATGGTTGGAAGGTCACAGACACACAAGGCAAATCATACTGGTAAATGAGATCAGTAACAACACACAACTGATAGAGCGCACTCAAGGCTGCTCTTGCTGGTGGCTGACCCTCCAACCTTGGGTACCATTATCGCGCCGCTAGCTACCTCTGCCCTCAGGAAGAGGTGCTTACAAAGAGATCTACAGAGACCTCAAAAGATTCATTGACCCAGTCAAGCATTCATCATTTATTGACCACTTATTGGCCCAAAGACATTTACCGACCCCTCCCTGCCCATTAGACATTTCCATTAACCCTTGAGGGTCAATATTGACCACTTTGGGAAACCTTGTTGTAAACCAAGTAAATTCTTAATCCTTACCCCTCTAGTAGGCAGTGGGTCTTAATTTCACTTGCCAAGAGTAGGCAGACGGTCTTAATTTCACTTGGCAAGAGTAGGAAGTGGGTCTTAATTTCCCTTGCCAAGAGTAGGCTGAGGGTCTTAATTCCACTTGCCAAGAGTAGGCTGTGGGTCTTAATTTAACTTGCCAAGAGTAGGCAGAGGGTCTTAATTTCACTTGCCAAGAGTAGGCAGAGGGTCTTAATTTCACTTGCCAAGAGTAGGAAGTGGGTCTTAATTTCACTTGCCAAGAGTAGGCAGACGGTCTTAATTTCACTTGCCAAGAGTAGGCTGAGGGTCTTAATTTCACTTGGCAAGAGTAGGAAGTGGGTCTTAATTTCCCTTGCCAAGAGTAGGCAGAGGGTCTTAATTTCACTTGCCAAGAGTAGGCTGAGGGTCTTAATTTCACTTGCCAAGAGTAGGCTGAGGGTCTTAATTTCACTTGCCAAGAGTCGGCAGAGGGTCTTAATTTCACATGCCAAGAGCTACAGCCTCCAGCAAAATCTTCACCTACGACATTAAGGGATGCCTGCCCCCTTGCCAAGCACTGTGGCTCTTCCCATTGGCTCCCACATCACTTGTGTGTCTTGTTGTGTCATAGGTGTCATCAGATGGAACCACATCACACGGCAGGATAACAATGAATTCAACAGGACCCCTTGAAGTGTTGGATGCTAAAGATTCTGCTAGAGACCATATGTCTGGAAGACAGCGAAGTGAAGACTTGCCTCCTGCCAGACAGGTAATTACTAAGAGCCATTTCAAGTGGTATGATTGTGAATTGAATATTCTGGTCACAAATAAGATAACGCATTCATCAGCGGCACTTACCTCCATCACAGAACTCTCCGATAAATCCTTCATCGCAGACGCATTGTCCATTTACGCAACGACCTTGGTTATGGCAGTTGTTCAAGCATGTCAGTTCACCACAGTTGTCCCCGACAAATCCTTCATTGCATATGCACTGCCCATCGACACACACTCCTCTGTTGTTACAATCATCAGGGCATCTCAGTTCACCGCAATCGTCACCTATGAATAAGTTGTCGCAGACGCACTGGCCGTTAACGCAACGTCCCCTGTGGTTGCAATCATTGGGGCACCTAAGTTCCGAGCAGTCGTCTCCCATGAATCCCTCATCGCACACGCACTGCCCATTGACGCAGCGGCCCTTGTTGTTACAGTCATTGAGGCATTTTAGTTCACTGCAGTCAAGACCCGTGAAACCTTCATCGCACACGCACTGCCCATTGACGCATCGGCCCTTGTTGTCACAGTCATTGGGGCACCTCAGCTCGCTACAGTCAAGGCCCATGAAGCCTTCGTCGCACACGCACTGCCCATTGACGCAGCGGCCCTTGTTGTCACAGTCATTGGGGCACCTCAGCTCGCTACAGTCAAGGCCCGTGAAGCCTTCGTCGCACACGCACTGCCCATTGACGCAGCTTCCTCTCTTGTCACAGTCATTGGGGCATCTGAGATCACCACAGTCAGCTCCGACGTACTCCACGTCGCAAACGCACTGTCCGTTAACGCAGCGTCCTCTGTTGTTGCAGTCGTTTGGACACCTGAGCTCGCCGCAGTCCTCTCCTATGTACTCTTCCTTGCAAATGCACACGCCATTGACACAACGACCCCTGTCATTGCAGTCATTGGGGCATCCTAACTCGCCGCAGTCGTCGCTAGCGAAGCCTTCGTTGCACACGCACACTCCGTTCACGCACAAGCCGTTGTTGTTGCAGTTGTTTGGACAAGCCACTTCTCCGCAGTCCTCTCCGGTGAATCCCTCCTCGCAGAAGCACACGCCGTTGACACAGCGGCCGCGGTCAAAGCAGTCATTGGGGCAGATCAGTTCACTGCAGTCCTCCCCTGTGTAGGGCTCGTCGCAGACGCACTCGTTGTCCACGCAACGTCCGCGGTTGTTGCAGTTGCCTGGACACTTTGGTTCGCTGCAGTCTTCCCCGGTGAAATCCTCGCTGCACAAGCAGCGGCCGTTGACACACTTCCCGTGTTCACCACAAGGCACAGGGCAGACCTCCTCGCTGCAGTCTTCCCCACCGTAGCCATCAAAGCAAACGCAGACGCCGTTGACGCATCTCCCTTGGTCGTTACAGTCGTTCAGGCAGGTCAGTTCACTGCAGTCCTCTCCGGTGTAACCCGGATTGCAGACGCATTTCCCGTCCACGCATATTCCCCGGTTGTTGCAGTTTCCCGGGCATTCAGCTTCAGAACAGTTGGGTCCCTTCCACCCAGGCTCACAAATGCAGCCGCAGGTAT